TCTTTGTGAGTTTGAGGCCAGCCTGGTCTACATAGTGAGTACCAGGCCAGCTGGGGCTACAAGGAGACCCTGTCTAAAAAAAAAAAAAAAAAAGTATCTCAGGTAGTCCAAGCTGGTCTGAAACTCACTATGTAGCTGAGGATGACCTTGAATTCCCAATCATTCTGCTTTTAACTTTGTAGTACCCAGATTATAGGCACCTGTCACCACACCTAGCTCTTTTGACTCTTACAAAACTGTTCCTTTTCTAACTACCATAAGGTCATCAAGTCACTATACTTCCTTAGCCTACTCACAGCCACCCACCCTAGCTAGTCCAGACTAGGCAGGTCACCTCCACCCAAACCCAGCTGCAGAGCCGTCTCTAGGCAGGTGTCAGACTGCTGGAAAACCCAGCTTAAAAACTACCTGAGGCTGGTCTGCTGCCCTCAGCCAGCAGCTGTCCCAGGCACAGGTGGCCAGGACCCTGGGCCTAGAACTTCCAGAGTGGTTGGCAGAAGGCCAGGTAGCTCTGGCCTACTGCAGTGCTTCTAGGCTTCACTCTGCCTCTTCCTCTGCACAGCTGTCTCTGTAAAATTCTAAGAAACACTGGTCTGCATGTTCCAGTTAGAAAATGTCCTATGAAGCTGGACATGGTGGCACACACCTTTAATCCCAGCACTTGGGAGGCAGAAGCAGGCAGATCTCTGTGAGTTCAAGGCCAGCCTCATCTATATAGCAAATTCCAGGCCAGTGGGGGGTACAGGGAGACCCTGTTTCAAGACCAAAAAAAGAGAAGAAAGAAAATATCCTATGAAAACTGGGCATAATGCTGCACAACTGTAACCTCAGCATTCGGGAGGTAAGGCAGGAGGATCAGAAGTAAAAGGTTATCCTCAGCTACATATCAAGTTGGAGGTCAGCCCGAGCTACATGAGACCTTGACTCAAAAGACAAAAGGACAGAAGGAAGAAAAAAGATGTCCTACAAAAGGTCACAAGGAGCTGCTGAAAAACTGCCCTATCAGGGTCCTGGGAGCTTGGAAAGAAACCAGGGGCCTCAGGACCACCAATGCCCAAGAAAAGAGCCAGGAGCCCCTGCCAGGCTGCTCCCCTGAGGAGCAAAGAGGCAAGGTAGGAGCAGAGCCCAGTGGCTGCAGGAGGCACTGATCATACCCTGGGGTGCTTGGAAGTACCTGGGCCTCAGTACCCTGGGGTGCTTCAGAAATACTGTGCCAGGGTATGAAAGGTTTGGCAGCTCGCCATGTTGCCCTGCATCTTATCCACAGGAGTATCCCATCTCCCAGTGACCCTCCCAGAGGTCACTGCTGTCCTCTGGGGCCAAGCCTTCAAGAGCAGAAACCCCAACCCCCATGTCCTTTCCCCTCAGTGCACCATCTAGAGCCCATAACTCAGCTGTACAACTGGAGGGAGCCCAGGATCCCAAGCTGTTCCTCTGACCTCTCCCTGCCCCATACTGCCTGATGCACAATTCCCAGCAGTAGGCATACCCAGCTGTCTTGGCCTAACACTTCAACTTCTAAGCCTGCAGCTGTGCTTAGAACTTGAAGAGCAAGGGAGAGCCATGGTAGACCTAGTCCCATTGGACTTCTAAGCACTAGGACAGCTCATATGCTAAGTCTTCACATTCCTGGGGTTTCCTGCAACCCCTCACCTTCTCCTGCCACAGCTTGGAGCTAGCAGTGCAATCCTCTGCTGACCCCGCAATCATAAATACAGGACACCCCACCCCTTGCCTGCCCACCACTCACCCCACTGTGCCTCGGAGAAGAACAGCACTGTTCTTTTAATTACACCTCCAAGTCACCTGAGGAGGTGTGGACATCTCCCAGCAATGAAGAGTCTGAGACCCAAGACCCACAAATCCTCATCCCATAAAAACAACTTGAACTGATGTTCTGAGCAGACTTCAATGGACCAGAGGGACTGGGAGGAAAGACCTGCTCCAGGCCCTTTGCCTTTGGTCCCAGCATGGGAACTTAGGTCATACCTTCCAGCCTCTGCTCTTATCCCACAATTGCAAATGCCCAAAGCTCTGAAAGCAGAACTTTTACAAAGTCTGGAGCAAGCTCAACCTGGCTGCAGCATGACCTAACCCACGTGGGGCTGTTTACAGTCTTAATGTATTCAACTTAACATGAAGATTCCCATCCTGCTGCAGAAATACTAACATTTTAACTCCAGTTCTGCCCCGGACTTCAAAGGGAGTATTGGCCTAAGTTTGAATTTTAAAAGCCAACATGTGATTTCAAAAACACAATGTGGCCTCTAAGCCAATCTATATTCTGCAAAATTTCCCACAGGCTATCGGGGGGCTAGGGGGGCAAGGAACAGCTGCTGCTGCCCCCAGCCAACATCTCCAGCCTCCAAAATGACCACCAACTCTGCCAGGGACAAGCTTCAACTCTCAACTGGCTCAGAGCCCAAACCTGGGCCTCCTGGCTATGCCTGATAGCTCCTCCCCAACCCTTGACAGGTCACAGGGGGAGAGGAAAGAGTATGGAGAATCTGGAAACTGACTAACTTAGCTTTTTAACCCAGAACTCAAGCCTCCCAGAGCAGCCCTGACACCTGTCAGAGCTGGGCCCAGAGGGACAGAAGTGGGCAAGAGGAAGCACAGAGGGGAGGAGCTCTGAGCTGCAGGAGGATACACAGCCCTAAGGGTCCCCAAGCTGAGTACTCAGCAGGGAAGAATTACCCAGACCCCTCTCTGGTGTCCTTATAGCACCCCACCTTACTGGAAGCTCAGGTCTAGCTGCACCTGAGGCCACAGAGCTGTGAGAGGTGTGGCTGGGATTCCAGCCCAGACAGGCTCCCCAGTTTCCAGACCTCCTGCTCTGAAGAGGCCCCCAGGCGGCCCTGAAAGCATCCAGCAACATACAGAAAACTGGAAAGACAGCAACCCCAGGAAAAGGGACCAGAGGGTTTCCTTCACCAGCTGCTGCCTGAAGTTAAGCCCACAACAGGGCCAGATGGTCCCACAATCAACCTCCACTCCAAAAATCATGTCCAGAGGACAGAAGAGCTACCCTGACGTGAACAATTCACTAGGACCTCCCCAAAACAACCAGCCACCTGGGGACAGGTCTCAAAAGCCTGACTGCCAGACACAGCCTCAGGCCTCCTCAGGGGAAAAAGAGTACCCTCAGGCTCCCCAAGACTTAAGCTTTGTCCCACCCCACAATGCCATATCTTCAAGGCCCCAGCCAGGACTGGGAAACAGCACAAGCCTCCTGCAGTCTGCATGCCCTGCCCAGCACACAGCCAGGGAACCAATCTCTCACTTCATGCCAGGCATGGTCAGCACCCTCACCTGTTTCTTCAGCTACAGATGGGGAGAAGCAACCCTTCCCCTACCCACCATTATTAGAAACCTAAGGCTACCATTTCCCCATCTTCTCACAACCCCTCCAGACCTCACCACCTCACGCCTGCTACAGCACCCAAACCCAGCTCTGCCAAAAGGGACTCTCGAAAAGACATCAGCCACCCTTACAGTGATATCCCAGTACTGCAACCAGGGCCTCTGACCAGATCCCAACTCTCCTGGATTTGTTCCTGCATCTCTGGTCCCCTCCAAAACTAAACACCCAATGACAAGAACACAGTTAGTACTTGTGAGGAGCCTGTGCTGGCCAGGCTCTGTACTCACCACAGCACCACACACTGCATGCACAGTCCACCATTCTACTTGTGACCTGTGTTCCCAGGGCACCCTGGTCAGCCTCACCTGCCCTGCACCTAAGACTGCCCATAGCCCCTGGGGCAGGAAAACCCCCACCCACCTCAGAGGCCCAAGGCAGTAGAGCTGCAAGAAGGGCTGGAAGAAGCCCAGCCATGGCCTCTCCCACTGTGGGATGAGAGAATTGCTTCTTGCAAAGTCTATAAAGGGAAGATGGAGTCAGGCTGCTGAACTCCAGCTCAGACAGAATGGCAAAGTGACAAGCGACACAGGCCTCTTATGCCAAGTCTCACTCTAGAGGGAATCACAGACGTGTGACTTGGGCAAATTCCTGCCAAGCCACCAGAGAGGGAAAGGACAGAGCCTGGCAGGCTAGCTCTGGAAATGGAGGAAGTCTGGTCACATGAGAAGCGTCCTGCTTCCCAGCCCTAACACGCCAGACTCGGGCAGACTCAATTCTTTTCAGGGGAACATCTCTGTCCAGACCTAAGGAGCACATACTCTCTCCCCAAAGCAAAGACAGAGCTGGCCACCCATCCTGTGCTGCCCACTCTCCTCACTTCCCATCCTGTCTGCAAGTGGGCACCTCCACACCTAGCGTGACTGCTCTGCAATGAGTGGGACTGGCCTTAGAACCAAGGGCCAGTAGCAGGGGGCACTGTGGAGGGTCTCCAGGGACTCCAGGTGAGCAAGGCCCCAAAGCAGAAGGGCCTTTTCTGCCAGACAGCCTGGACCCTCCCAGCCCAGATAGGAACAGTCTGTGGGGATCTAAGAGTAGTCAGTACTTTAAGGACCAGGCATCCCCAAACTTGTCCCTAGCCTTTTCAGTGCTGGAAGCCCCCATCCAGAGACACAAAAGAAGCCACTAGTTGCCAAAGGAAGGCAGCACTCACAGGATTCCAAGACCTTCCTGAGCGGGCAGAGGGTACAAGCCTGACCTTGTCCCAGATTCTGCCTGACTGGGGAGCCTCATCAGCAGAAGCCTGTAAAATGACACAGCTAGCTTCCCAGGGAGAGGGAAGTGTCAGGGAAAGTGCTCCCCATTTGGACAGCAGCCATGTCCCACAGCGGATGCTCCACAGTCCTGGGGCTCTGGTTGCCTTAGTTCCCAGGTCCAGCAACCACAATTTCCTGCTGCTATTCACCCCTCCCCTCCCCTCTTCCAAGCTCAAGGATCTGCATCAAGAAGAGCTTCCTGGACCACCTCAAGGAAGAAGGCTGGTCCACTAAAAGAGAAAGAACCAGTTGCACCCAGTAGGGCCAGACCTGAATCCAGTGCCCTCCTCCTCTGGCTGCTTGCCAGGCAGAGCAGACGTGAAACCCCAGCCAGGCCCCTTCTGTTCCTGCACTTTTTCTAATCCTCCCTCCCGTCAGCTAGCCCAACACCCCTCCTTAAACTTGAGAGACATTTATGTGCACCCCCATCCACTAGCTGAGCTGAGTGGAGACTAGCAGCATGCAGGGCCCTCTGAGCGGTAGGGACTAAAATCAAAGCCAAAATCCAAGAAGGCTTTTCCATCTCCCACCTCTCCATGCAACTTCCTACCACTCCCAATGGCTCCTCTGCACAAGGGACCCAGTACTGATCCCCAGGACTCAACAAGGTAGGACCACCTCCCACGTGGTCTGAGACTCCCAAAGTCAGAGAACCCCTCTCTGGAGGCAGCCAGCAAATCCACAGTATCAAAAAGCACCTCTACAGTTCCGAGGGAGCAGCTGATTCCTGCCCCTCCCCAGTCCCCAGGCAGGCAATGACCCATCGAGAGTGTCAGAATCCCCAGCTTGGGTTTGTACTAGGGTCTCCAAGTGAGGGCTCTCTCCAGCCCCCAGCCTCCTTTTTACCAGGCACATAGCTCCGAGGTTCCAGTGTCTTGCCCCCATTGGCCATCTCCTGTCTAGTTGCTCCCAGGGCTCTGAACTTCCCTATGGCTCCACTCTGGCCTCAGAGCGACACTTCTGAAATAAAATCTTTAAGTCCAAGCAAAGGTTTCTTAATTCTATCTCTGAGACTTGAACTTCCTCCTCCGACACCCTGCCCTGCTAATTCTGCCTGGCTCCTTACCTGGCCTTGAGTGGCCCAGTGGGTCAAAAGCAGAGACAGTCTTATTTGGAACTTGAACCCTCAAAGCCTGCCCAAAACGAGCGCTGCTACACCTCTGGCCTTACATAAAGTCTCCAGAAAGTTTGTTAGCTCCAGTTTGAGGATATGAAAAAAAAAAAAAAAAAAAACCCACTCTTGCCAGGAACAAAGAACCATGGGGTTTCCTCCTGGGCCAGCTAGTGGCCAGGAGTTGTCAAGCCCTACTCTGCATACTGCCTGCTCACAGCTGTTGCTCTCCTGGCCACTTGAATCCCTCTCTTTTCGACATACCGGCCGGTGGGCTCAGGCCCCCAACACCACCTTAAGAACATTCAACTGCAACCGTAACTTGAGGAAATACATACACACACACACACACACACACACACACACACACACACACACACACACACACACACAAATTTGATTCGCTGTGGGTCCCATAACCAGGGAGGAAAAGACCTGATCATCAGTCTCCATTGTTAACATTCCTGCATCCCACGCACGCACACGGGGTGCCATGCCCCCGAGTGCACTCAACTCTCCTAGGAAAGGGAACCCATCCTTCTGCCGCATAAAAGATATTCAGAGCCAGGGGTGAGTGAACTCACCTTCTACAGCAGCTCCTCGGTGCAGGACACACTGTAAGACGAGCAGGGCGGCGACCCCACCCGTCTCATCCCACCCCCGCTGGTCTTTTGCTAGATCCCGGCATGTGCGTTCTCTGCCACCCCCGGGCTAAGACTTTACCTGCAGACTGGGCAGCCGCCTACCACAACGATAGAGTTGGCAGGATACCGGGTGACCGTTCGACTGTGGATGTTATAGACCCGGGGGTGGCTGGTGGGGATCCCTGTTGGGGAAGGGGGTAGACATCAGCAGAAGGGGACTTGGCAGTCCTCCTCCCTCCCCCAAACCCCACGTTCCTCCCTGCCATCACCCATGCTGAGCGCCTCCACCACTCAAGAGCTAGGTGCAAACCCCGCGGACACAAAGTTCACGGCCACCCCAGCAGGGCCTGGCAGGGAAGGGCGCGCGGGGGCAGCCGCTCCTCCAGCAGGCCCGCGCACCGGGGCAGCGCGGGTCCCCATCCAGAAAGCCCCGAGGGGTCCCCGGCGAGCCCGCGGGCCCACCTGTAACAAGGTAAGGGTAGGGCGGCGGCGGGGGCGCGGTAGGGATGGCCCCGTAGCCGTGCGGGCCACACGCGTAGTCGCCCTGGCCGGCCTCCAGATTGTAGGCGGGTGGTCGCTCCTGCAGCAGCGGCTTGTGGTCCATGGCGGCCCTAAGGGCCGCGCGCCCGCCAGCTCCGGCCCGGTTCGGTTCCTTCGGCCCGGAGGGGGATGGCGGCGGCGGTGGCCGGGGCGGCTTAGCCCTGTGAGGCGCGCGCCGGGCGGGGCGGGCGCGCCAAGGGTTCCCCGCCCTCCTGCCGGTCACAAGACCCGGGTCACGTGGGCGGAGCGGGGCGGGGGATGGAGGCGGGGCTTGAGGAGGGCGTCTTAAAGGAGCCACGTCTGCTCTGGGTGTTGGGGGGGCGGTCTCCTCACTCAGCCCCTCCTCCATAAGAATCTGATTTTTTTGGGATTTCATTTTTTTCACTATTTATGTGTGTGTGTATCTGCATATATGAATGGGCACGCACATGCCAAGAATGTGTGTGGAGGTCAGAAAACAATTTGCCAGAAGGGTCAGTTCTCTCTTCCCATCAAGTGGGTCCCAGGTATTGAACTCAGGTCTTCAAGCTGGCGGAAAGAGCCTTTACTTACTGATTCACCCAGACACCGTCCCCCTCTTTTTTTTTTTTTTCTTTTCTGGTTGATTGATTGACTGACTGACTGACTGATTGACTGAGTGATTGACAGGGTCACACCATGTAGCCCTGGCTGGTCTGGAACTAGCTATCAGACTGACCTGGAATTCACAGATTCACCTATCTCTGCTTCACTATGTGGCTGAGTCTGGCCTGGAACTCTTGATCCTCCGGTGTCTGCTTCCCAAGTGCTGAGATTACAGGTGTGCAGCACCGCGTGTCTCCTCATCTTTATGTAAAGCCCTCAGATTTCCTCCTCCCCAACCCAATACCAGAACACCACTCGTGGGTCGGAGCCCTGCCCGGTTGCTTGTAGCACTGCCCACACCAGCTCCGGAGAACCCCCACCGAGGCCCGCTCAGCTGCTGCACTTTTTCTTTTTTTAATTTTATTTATTTTGATAAACTAGGTAATTTCTGGGGTTGTGTCAAATAATTGCCCTGCTTGGGAGAACCCTAGAACTTGGGCACCTGCTGTGCTGTCTTCAAGTTCCCTAGTCTGCCTGAGTTGGTATTACTATTGCCTTAAGTTACTATGCAGAACTTAAACTCTTGAGAGGCGTGGCCTGACCTGGGTCCACACCACCACCTCCGCCACCCACCGCCCAGGAGCACCATCTCCTTGTAGCTGTTGTTATGCCCCTTGTTGAAGCATTCTCAAGGATGCTTAATTAGTTTGTAAGACTTAAAGGGCAGATTGGGTGCTAGGGCAGAAGCTCAGTTGGTAGAGTGCTTGCCTAGGATGCAGGCAGCCCTAGTTTCCATCCCATCACTGTATTAACCTGTAATGGTGGCTCTAGACTGTAATTCCCAGTCCTCTAGAGGTAGAGATGGGAGGACCAGACTTTCAGGGTCATCCCTGGCTACATAGCAAGATCAAGGACAGCCTGGGTTACATGAGACCCTGTCTCAACAATATAAAAGAAGAGGCTAGTGGAGAGTAGCCAAGGGCCTTGAGGGAAATAACTGACAGTCCTGGGAAGACAGAACCCCAGGAAGGGTCAGAGCAGCACAAAAAGGGAACTCTGTCCAGAAGAACCTGGGGTGCAGCCCCAGTCCTCAACATCATGAGAAGTGGGCTCAGGTCAGGCTGGTCCACTGTGGCCACTCAAGTGGGGACCCTCCTTCGTTAACAAGAAATCGTAGTGTGTGTGTGTGTGTGTGTGTGTGTGTGTGTGTGTGTGTGTGTGCACGCGCGCGACTGCCTATAAACAGAGGTGAGCATCAGATTGCATATTGGAAGATAACTAACAGCATCTAGAGCCATACCTCCCTGACCATGTCTGATCTGGGAAACTAAGCAGGCTCAGGCCTAGTTAATACTTGGATGAGAAAATGACTGGCAGCAAAGGAGGTTATGGAAAAGATGGGATGAAAGATGGGCCATGCCCATTAAGACTTGGCGACCTTGCCATGGGGGAAAACAGAGTCCAGTACTCAAGAGGCTAATGCAGGAGGATCCAGAGTTCCAAGTGAGGCAAAGCTACACGGCAAGACCATCTTGAACAAAAAGACTTGCTGACTTCCTAAGGTGGAGAGGTACCAAGCTGATGGTGGGTCAAGTTTCTGGTTCAGATGATCCTAGACAGAGGGGCCAGCATCTGACTGGATGAAAAAGAAACTGACCTGGGCTGGAGAGATGGCTCAGCAGTTAAGAGCACTGACTGCTCTTGCAGAGGACCTGGGCTCGATTCCCAGCACCCGTATGGTGACTAACAACTGTCCATAACTCCAGTTCCAGGGAATCCTACACCTCTTCCTACCTCCGAGGCATTGCACAACACAGGTGCACTCACATACATGTGATTATGAGGCAATACACTCATACACATAAAAATAATAAAATATTTTTTTTTAAAAAGAAAAAGAA